GACCATGTAGTACATTCCTCTGTCTCTCAGCTGAATAAGGATACCTGTCTAATCCACCCTTTGAAATTCCAGGTAATGGTGATCCTTCCCCAAGAAATTTATTTTTCTGCTTCATTTGCCTGTAAGAAAAAGACTTCTTGATCTACTGCAATTTAAGACCATGTTTTCTTGTTCTAAACATGGTAGAAACTGAATAGCTTACTCCTTTCTCACTTTCTTTTTCACCCGTCTGACACACAAAGGCTCTTACATCTCCCCTCAATCTTTTCCTGTCTGCATTAGACAGAACCAATTCTTTTAATATCAGTCAAACATTTAATACATTTTTTTTTTCTGTTGAGGAGATCATAGATTTGATGCTGAAGCCACAGGGATGTCTGAAGGTTCAGAAGCAGAAAAGAAATACATGCAACAATACCATGTAAGAGCCCACGTTGTCTCACTAGAGTTTTAGATCCCCCTTGATATAATCCATTCAGAAGACAACAAGAAAATGAGGTGCAATAAAAACTAATGAATCACAGAAAGGCACTGATTTCAAGTCTCATTGCTCCATAACCTAACCTGGAGTCACTTGAAGAAGAATGGCCACAGGGATCAATCTCCATCACTACAAATCTTCTCTACCTGGAGCCATTTGAGGCATTCAATAATTTTCTGCAACAAAAGCTGTTATTTCATAGCTGAGCATGATTCAAGCCGAGGGCAGCAAGGGGATTTGAAACTTTCCAGTGAATCATGGAGAGGAGAGTCTGTCATCATGCCCATGGCAGCCAGTTAAGGTCTTTATGTTGGGCAGTTTGGAGTTCGCTGCTGAGTGCGTGGCCTAGGCCTTGGGAGTACTGCTTGCTGCTGCATCTGTGGCTGTGGCAGAGGCCTCTGCTGCACATGCAGCTTCTTCAGGGTAGGGTTGAATGGTGGCTGAGAGATCTGCCGGACCATCATTTCTGGCAAAAACTCCTGGCAAATTTGCATCTTTCTATGCTCATTTGCAATGACAGAAGGCCAAAGAAATCAGGCACAGACTAAAGTTTGACGAGAAGATGGTACTGTTATTTATAGTGAGCAACTGGGGAAAAGTCTTTGGCCCAAGCAAGAAAACATCAAATGTTGGTCTTTCCTGGAAAGCCACTATCAGTCTTAGGTAGCCCTGCTAGTCCAGCAGAACAACCAAAGTCAGCATTGCCCACTCCCATCAGGCAAACCTGAAAGCTTTTTGGCACTCTATCTGAGGTTAAGCCACATGGGACATTTGGGGCAGCTCTGACCTCTCCATTCTGAGGGACCCAACTCTGACCTCTCCATTCTGAGGGACCCAACTCTGCTGGGGCGCTCCCAATTGTGACCAACAGAGATCGCCAATCTGAGAAGCTCTGTCATCTACTGGAAATGGTTCACTGAAGAGGAGATGCACCTACAAGGAACAGTAAAAAAACTGTGTCCTGCCACTAACCATGCTGTGATGGTCCTAAAAATTTCCAGGCATCTGGAAACCTTAATTTTTACACTTTGCCAGCATTAATTTCTCCTCATGCATAAGACATAAATTCATGCTAATTGATTTTTAACCACTGACTCATCGTTTCTGATATGTCAGTCATCTTACCACTTTGCCAGACACTGAAATGTCTGTGACATGGACGGGTGGCACAGTCGAGGGAGGACTCGTCATGGTCATGGAGGGCTCTGTCTCAGCCGATGTCGACGTGACGCTGTCTTATCAGCTCTCGAGTGGTTTTAAAGGGGCAGGAGACCTGTATGGATGGGTAAGGAATTGCTGGGCAAAGTGAGTGCGAAAAAAAGGGTGTACAGCTTGTGACGGAGAATGCCGAGAAGGCAGAGTTACTAAATGCCTTCTTTGCCTCTGTCTTTACTGCTAAGGCGACCCCCCATGAACTGCAGGGCTCAAATGGAAGAGATGGAAATGGACTAGAGGAAGACCTTCCACGGGTTGAGAAGGATTGGGTTAGGGATCGCTTAGGCAAACTGGCCACTCAAAAATCTATGGGCCCACATGGGATGCACCCAAGAGTGCTGAGGGAATTGGCCGAGGTTATTGCTCAGCCTCTCTCCATCATCTTTGAGAGGTCCTGGAGAGCAGGGGAGGTGCCCGAGGACTGGAAGAGAGCCAACATCACTCCAGTCTTCAAAAAGGGCAAGAGGGAGGAGCCGGGCAATTACAGGCCGGTCAGCCTCACCTCCGTCCCTGGAAAGGTGATGGAGCGGTTCATCCTAGAGAGAATCTCCAGGCATATGGAGGAGAAGAAGCTGCTGAGGAGCAGTCAGCATGGATTCACCAAGGGGAAGTCATGTCTGTCGAACCTCATAGCTTCTATGATGGGGTGACAGGCTGGCTGGACGAGGGGAGAGCCGTGGATGTTGTCTACCTTGACTTCAGCAAGGCTTTTGACACTGTCTCCCATAATATCCTCATACGGAAGCTCCGGGAGAGTGGACTAGACGAGTGCACGGTGCGGTGGATCGAGGGCTGGCTGGACAGCAGAGCTCAGAGGGTGGTGATAAATGGGGCCGAGTCCAGTTGGAGGCCTGTGGCCAGTGGTGTCCCCCAGGGGTCAGTGCTGGACCCAGTGCTGTTCAATTTGTTCATCAATGACCTGGACGAGGGCACGGAATGCACCCTGAGCAAGTTTGCAGATGACACCAAGCTGGGTGGAGTGGCCGACACTCCAGAGGGCTGTGCTGCCATCCAGAGGGACCTGGACAGGCTGGAGAGTTGGGCAGAGAGGAACCTCATGAGGTTCAATAAAGATAAGTGAAGGGTCCTGCACCGGGGAGGAATAACCCCCGGCACCAGTACAGATTAGGGGTCGACCTGCTGGAGAGCACCTCCACAGAGAGGGACCTGGGAGTCCTGGTTGACACCAAGTTAACCATGAGTGAGCAGCGTGCCCTCGTGGCCAAGAAGGCCAATGGGATCCTGGCCTGCATCAGGAGGAGTGTTGCCAGCAGGTCAAGGGAGGTGATTCTGCCCCTCTACTCAGCTCTGGTGAGGCCGCACCTGGAGTACTGTGTGCAGTTCTGGGCTCCCCAGTATAAGAGGGACGTGGAGCTTCTCGAGAGGGTCCAGAGAAGAGCAACCAGGATGATTAAGGGAATGGAACATCTCTCGTACAAAGAGAGGCTGAGTGAGCTGGGCCTGTTTTCTCTGGGGAAGAGAAGGCTCAGAGGGGATATGATTAATATGTATAAGTGCAGGAAGGGAGAATGCAGGGAGGAAGGGGACAAGCTGTTCTCACTGGTGGCCAGCGATAGGACGAGGGGTAATGGCCACAAGCTGGAGCACAGGAAGTTCCGTCTCCAGGTGAAGAGCAACTTCTTTACTGTTTGGGTGACAGAGCCCTGGCACAGGCTGCCCAGGGAGGTTGTGGAGTCTCCTACTCTGGAGGTCTTCAAAACCCACCTGGATGCCTCCCTGTGCCACATGCTCTAGGTGTGCCTGCTTGAGCAGGAAGGTTGGACTAGATGATTCTCTAGAGGTCCCTTCCAACCTTAAATATTCTGTGATTCTGTGATTCTGTGAACTTAGGAGAGAAATAAGAGGACTCAGAGAGTGACCCATGCACGGATGAGCAAGATTGCTTTCCCACTCAGCAAAGGGGTAGGTTATGCTCACTCTAGCTGCCAGGCCAAGCAAAGCACCTTTGAGATATCAGCTGGAGTTTCTTTAAGACTTTATCCTCTTTAGCTGGGGTAAACTGGTAACTGTTGTGATCCGAAAAGGAGCTTTTGACTCCATATTGTAATTTGGGAGTAGACTCACAGAGAGATTGATTCTTATTTAAAACCACACAGGAATCCTGGCACAGTTTGGAACTCAGGAGACTTGAAAGCAAGCCTTTGATGCCAAGTTGCCTCCTCTGGCTGCAGGACAGAGTCCCTTTTGCTTTAAACTCTTCTTCAATGTTGGTCAGCAGACGCACTTCAAACTGCAGCTCAGCATCCTCTTCTTTAAGTCTATCCCCCCATACTAGAGTGGGCAACTCCTGAGCTAAATTCAAGCTACTCTGTCCACCAAAACAAGCGATACTGAGAGAAGGCTTTAGCAGCTATTTTCTACAGTCTCAAAGAGGCCTGAATTTCAAAAGATGAAGGCTCTGCCCTTTCTGAAAATGTGGTCTCTTTAAAGTGCCCCATATTGCACCTCCAGCATTGATGGCACTCCAGCAACTTTTTAGTGAGGACAGGTTGTATGAGATGCCTGCAGAAACACATAGAAAAAAAAAAAAGTCTTGCCATGTTTCTAAATGTAACTAGTGATTTCATGAATCTTAATTTTACAACTGCATAAACTAAATGAAAAAATTCTGGCAGTATACCAGCATCTTAGATATAGTCACATGAATGTTCATGGCAGGTGGTCAGGTGTTGCAGCTTGAGGCAGGCCAGGAATATCAGAGCCAACACTCTTGGAGGTTAGACAGGGACTTCGTTTACTACATAGTCGCGACACACTTTTATACCACTCAGGGCGTACACTCGGATGGCAACAGACCCGAGAAAACAGCAGGGATTGGCAAAGCTTCGGATATGGCTTGTCCTCATTGGTTGCCCTGCTGATTACCAAATATCCAACCGCAAAACTTTCCCTCCCCTCCCCAGGGACCTTCCTCCCAACTGGCAGGGTGCAGCTAGTTCCTGCTTTTGGCTTACTGTTTCCATTTTCTAGCCTAGCCGGGCCTTTCCAGTTTGGTCAAGGTTGGTCAAGGACACCCCTCTGTCCGTTGTCCCTGACAGTCAGGGCCAGATTTTAGAAGAACAATTCTTCCTTGATGGATAAAAAAAAAAAAAAGGGGGCTCAAATTCAAAAAAGCATTTTGTTAAAAATATATATCAGAAATCAAGTCTGACAACGGCAGCTGATGTGCTGGGATTCACACAAGTTTTCACTCATGTTGAGACAGATAGTATCCTCCTCCCCCACTGGGAGGCTCTAAGATTTTATGTGGCTAGATAACAGTATAAAATCCTTAAAGACTTACCATCTTCTTCAGCCTTTCTGCTCTCTTCTTCCTGGTACAGTAAATTAGCAAAATCATGAAGATAACAAGATTACACCTCCTACTACGCCTGTGATGAGATAAAAGTCCAGCTGGCCTAGTTAAGAAAGTAGAAGAGGATGTAAGAGGGAAAAAGAAATCACTGTCAGACTAAGCATGTGGTTCAGGCCTGACAGAATATATCTATGATGACATGAATATATTTTTTGCTGCTTTTTTTACACCACAATAGTGAAATACTTCTTTAAAGAAATAAATTAGATTCAATGTAGTCCCCTGATCCACTGATATCCAGACCCAAGGAATCTTAAGAGGCAAAAAATGTCAAATAATTGGCCTATAGACACAGAAGGATTGGTACTGTTTAGACTAGAAAACAGGAGGCCCAACTCCAGGAGTTAAAGTCATCTGACGTGGCACAGAGGTCTACATCTGAGCCAAACAAACTTGCACAACATGTGCCTTAGACAATTTCATGGTGTGACTTTTCCTAAAAGCAGACAAATAGCTACCTAGTATTCTGTATTTTTCCCCATTGACACAACCCAAATGAAAGAACTCACCCTTTGACTTTTTTCCATACACAACAGAAAATTAACCAGCCCTCACTCTCACTAGGAAGAATTTTATTTCTCCCATCTGGATTTAAGTTATACAGAAAATTGAAACCAGAGCATTCATGTGTGCCAATACATCTTATCTAAACTTCTCCAAATGCCCTTTCTCTGCTAACAATGGACAAACACAAAGACACTTTCATAAAACAGTACAAAAATTTCTTGATATGTCTCCAAACCTTTATAAGGCAGTGAGCATCCAGAGTGTGCTCAACATCTAAATACTAAAAACATTTTTTTTTAAGTACTTCCTACTGAGCTGGAAACACTGAGACTAGCTTGCCTCATATTGTTTTGGCACTTTAATTTTTGGCTGTGTGCAAATTTAAAATAGCAAAGAAGGAAAAGAAAAATACATATATTCTACAGATTAAAATTTTGTCTGGTGAGCAAATATTTATGTGAGTATTCTTTACCTTGACTAGATAAGGCTTGCTGGATGCTATCCTTTGGGTTGTCCAGCCAGCATTTGGCTTATGCTTGAGAATGTGCACTGTGAAGCACCAAATTGAACTCAACAAAAATACACTCATCTTTGCTCCTTGCCAGACAAAACTTGAAAGAAGGATATGCCACTGGTAGAACTATTAACATTCACTGGACAGGCACATGAAAGGCATGTCATGACACCAAAGTTAAGGTGTCTACACTACAAGCTAACATTTGCCTGGGCTTCCTTTTGGAGAGAATGGAGAGAAATAAGGCTTCTCAGTGATCTGACTCTTCTCACTTACTTTAGCTACTACTTCTGAACAGAAATGTACTTTGCCCCTTAAGTTTCTGTTCTTCCCAGTCACTTGTAAGATGAGCCCAATCAGATTTGCTCATAGTTATGCTTACATGAAAAGTGAGCTGAGCTGAATCACGTCTGAAGCTCACTGATGGTCAAAATTTAATGCTATTGTCCTCAAATTCGGACCAAATTAGGCTCGTCTAAGATGGGATTTTTGCAGCAGATGAATTTTGAATGGACACTTTGTATTCCTTAGTCTCAACAACTCCCACTGAAAGGCAGGGTGGGAGAAGTTTAGAACATGTAAAGCTGGATTTTATCTAATTCTGCCTGGATAGGGAGAAGTGAGGCAGCAGCCAAGGGCAGCAGCAGTGGGTACATGAACAGTTCCGTCTCCTAGGGCACCAGGGTTGGACTCAGCCTGGTAGAGAAGGTAGATTGACCCGATGTAAGCATTCAGATCAGTCTCACCACTGTGAGGCTTGGCACACAAAGGGCCGGCAACAGGGGACAGATTTTGTAACTTTAAGAACCGTACTCATACCTGTTATCCCAAGGGCTTCAGTTCCCTCCAAGTGCTATGATACTCATTTACTCCAGTTCTCAAAATACTTTGACACTCTGAGATATTTAATTGATTTTTCGTAACTGCTATTTCCTGGCTGACCTCTGAAACAGACAGACCAGCTTCCCTAAGGTGTTCAAGGAGGGCAGTAGGGTGGGAAGGAGGTTTGACTGAAACCTGAGGAATTTTTTATTTACCATGGAGCAGTGCAATATCCTATCCACATACAAAAATATGTGTGAGGTTTTTAGTTTAAGTAAAAAGGTAGTGCTATGTGATTTGGGTGTTTTCTCACAGTTTTACATATGGTGTATTTGTACCTTAATGTGTCAAACATCTTGCTACTTCACTGTTAGTAAGAGAGAACAAGCTCTTCCACACAACTCATCCTGTGCAAAAAGCAAAATCAAAGCTTCTCATGAGTGACCTGTTAAACCAAAATATGATGTCTGGATTATGCCTGTGTGTAGCAGTGATACAGGCCTCAGCTTACCCTTTCTTTCCTTTGGGAAGTACTGCTGGTTTTAAAGGCGTAAATAAGGATTAAAATGAGGGGAAAGTTTATCTCTTGCAAAGTGCTGTGTGCCATTAAAACTCTTTTGCATGCCTCCTTCCCCAATTTCTCCATTATTTTATTGCTTTACTACTAATAATCATTGACACCATTTGAATGTCAGGATACTTCTTGACCAGGCTGAACTGGTTTGGGTGAGCAAGATTCTCTCTCTGACCATCCTGATCTCCGACAGGCTGCAGTTTCCCCTTGGAAACTTCCTCCCCAGATGGAGGCAGCATCGCAGTGTGCCCAGGGCTTCCCTGCCACCCACAGGGCTCTCACCCCCATCCAAATCTCTCCTTGTTCCGGAAGCCCCAGGCCCCACTGACCACAGGTCCCTGCTAGTGGTGGCACTCTGCCACAGGAAGGAAAACACATCAGCCATGGGGACAAGGGGGAGCAAAGCCCCCTTCATGTCCCTCCACCCCTGCCTTCACGCTACTGGGACAGACGGGCTACAAGGGTAGGCAGCAGTGAAGTGGGGAAGGCAAAGGTGCAATGAGGCTCTAAAATGCCAAGCAGAGTCACAATTTGCATCTGGGATGCTGCAATAGCATCACCTGCCAGTAAGCACAACATTGTTAGGCTCACAGTACTGGGTACTGGGAGCCACCCTCGCTCCTGGCATCTGGAACACTCCTGTGGACACATGCAACTACATCAGGCTCTGTGGGTTAGTGTTAAGAGAATCAGACAAAAATAGATTTTCTACCTGGACAATCAATTTTCTTCTGAACTTCTTTTTCAGTGACCTGGCTCTTTACCACATATCTGAACGTCCCAGAATGACGTGTAAGAAATTCCACTTTTGTTGCATTCTTTTGGATTTTTTTTAATTTTATCTTGCATAGTTTCTTTTACAAACATATGGTCCTTAGTCTTCTGCTTCCCAATATGGATTTATTAACACAGTCAGCACTGAGGTCTGGCTGAAGGACAGGTTCTGAAAAAGAGAAGAAGAAACAGGCATATCTGAGAGGCTTCTCCTCTTGAAAAACTCAGTTATTAAACAAAACAGAGAATTAGCCATCACTAAACAATGAAAAAATAACACCAGGTAATGAAGCTAGAGAAGAATGAAGAGCAAATGAGATATTCACTGGGGAGCTAGCATGGCAGTAAAAAAAGTAAATGCCTTTAGGCCAAAAGCATTTGGCCTAAAAGATTTCTGATCTCTTCCTTCCTCTCCTTCTGTACCATTCTCACTGCTATGTTGGATGATTCTTTAAAAAAAAATAAAAAAAAGAGGAGGTGACTGTTTATGTCAGCAAGAGTATCAGTATCAGGACCCTTTTTCAGCATTACCTAAATTTAAAACCTGAGTTTGATCTCTAAGATGACTTCTCAATAGACATATGTACAGTTCACATCATAATGGTCTTTACAGTCCAGATTGTTAACCATATGAAGTCCAATCTGAAAATCAAGTGCTGCTATAGTTTACTTCATTGTTTTTGGGGCCAGATGGGGAAGAGGGAAAGATTACTGTGGTGTGGACAGAGGTGAGAAGCTGTGTGTGGTCGCAAGGCTGCTTTTTCTGCATATAAATGGATCACTACTACTATGCAATCCAAATGGCTGGTGAGCGTACGAGGGCCATCTACCTAGTCAACTCCAACCCTGTGGCCAACATGCATATTCATATTAGCTAATCTTTTATTTTAGAGATACTCAGGGGGTCACGTCTCTGACCCAGCCAGGCCAGGGAAGGGGAGGAAGATGTGCTTTGAGGAGGAGGTGGTAGGTGAGGGAATGGAAGCACCCTCCGCAATTCTTCTGGGGTTTTGGTGCGAATGAAGTCAGCTCTTATCCACCATGCCCTTCAGGTAGTTGGATATGCTGTAGTGCTTAATGGCACTCAACTAGCATGAAAATTACAGCATGAAAATCAGAATAAAACAAACTAGAAAAGAGAAAACAGAACAAAAGCTTCTTAGGTCTCAATGATGATATGAAGTAGAAAATTAGTTTACATTTTCTTTGTCTTGATTCTCTATCACTAGTGTTGCTACATGAAACAGAAAAGCCTTGCAAGACTTTCCTTAGTCAGGAACATCACATGGAAAAAACATCTATAGGTATAGGCAGTGTAAGCTATGGGGAATGTACATTTTAAAGCCAGAGGTGGCTGACTGAAGCAAATAAGTCTGAGTTCACAATGCGATATCTGCAATCTCTTCATTAGGCCTGCTCCTCTTTTGCAAGCTATAGGATATTTTGTGGGGGGGAATCCCAGACATGAAACACTGCTCACTGGAGTCCAGGTCCTGAGGATGGAGTTGTGTGATTATGTAAGTCTTTTTAAGGATCAATTGTTTTCCCACCTGTAATAATAAGGTGTAATTTGCCTGATAGATGACTTTATCACCTCAAAATTACTAAAGACTTTTACTTTCAAAACTGCATATCAGAGGTATCATCATACCACCTCACAGGGGATGAACAGGTGTATCACATAGCTAGGAGGCAACCTATTGCCTTTACCCTATATTCAACCCAGATCACTCAAATGAGTCAAGCAAGAGACGAGTAGAATTCAGGATGGTGATGGCTTCCCAAATGTGTGGACAGTTTGTATCAATAGTTCCTAGTAGTTACACACTCTCACTTCTCAATAGTTCTTTAGAATAAGGGGCCTCCTACTACACAAAATCAGTGCTAAAACCATTCCAACTGTCTTTGCTGCTGACTCACCAAAACATTGTTTCAGTGATGCCAGCTGGTATCATGGACTTAGTGTTGTTTGGTAGAGATGTGCACATCGGCTGAGGAAGGTAAGGGCAAAGTCATCCTCTGGCTGAAAAAAGCCCACCCGGCATTATGGCTTAGTCATCTGGAGGGGTGGGAGCAGGCATAAAGGGACAGAGTTGCCAAGCCCATCTTCCCTATCCATCCCAAAAGCTTTGAGTTGCCACTTTTCCAGTCTCTGAGCAGCAGGTACAGCACAGGAATAGTGCCTTGGTAGGTTGAGCCTGCCTCCATACTTTAAATCCATGTAGCTGACTACTCTGGACTTTAAATGGCATGATCTTTGTATTTACTACATTATGCTACCCAAGGATGGGATGGAAAAGTCTCCTCCCCCTGCACATAAAAATCATTTACTTTTTTGTGCATCTTGGAGCAAGGGGTGATTTCTGGATATTTTGAATGGTAGAGGGAAAAACCATGAGTGTGATCATATACCATCTAAATACAGACATCTAGTACCACCTACACTCCTGAGACCTCCATATGGAACCAGCAGATATAACATAAGGTTTTTGGGTTAGCAACTACAGGTCAAAAGGCATAACTCCGCACAGACACAATGGCACCAGAAGCCCACATTGAGGCAAGTACAGAATGCAGCAGCTGTAGACAAAAGTAGGTTGCGCAGGATGCTGCTGGAAACAACACAGCCCTTTTCATCCTGGTTCCAGAGTAAGCACTCTGAGCAGTGCCAGCATTGTGTGTCACACTGCAGTATGCGTGTCACCTACAGTCCAGCTGGATACACAGGTGCTCATGGTTGTTTGCTTGATTACATGCACAAATCTGATAAAGAGAGGAATCAAGCAGAAAAAGGGGACCAGAGGGATTCAAAAGCAGCAGTGAAAGAAAAGAAAAACAGATTGCTTCCAGAAGAGGGAAGAAAGGAGTACATCTCACTGCTGTTTCCCCCCTAAAGTGGAAAGTGGGGAGAGGAGTAGGTGACAGCGCACATATCAAGTCTTTTCCAGCTGTGCCTGGGAATGATACAAGAAGAGCAAAAACTCATCCTGAACAATGACCATTGTATCCTCTTCTCTCTTTAACTTTCCTTCCTGGTCATAAACAGTCTTGTGTACTTTCCACTGTTGCTTTCTAACAACTGCTGGATTTGCAGAGTCCCATTCAGGAATATCGTACATCTGCACTGGTCCTTGTTAACATAATGCTTAGTTTTCATAGCTTTTATCTGAAGTAACCTCTTGTCTCTAATCCATGTTACTTCATATATGCTCCCAGCAGCAGCAACATTAAGATTTATTGCCACATAAATGCTTTTGGTGACAACACACAGGAAGGAAGCACAACCAGCCTCATCTGTGCATTGAGTGCATCCCAAACAGCCGCTACAGGTCCATGCAGCATCAGCAGTGACCCAAGATATTTTATTTTATACTCCAATTTCCCTAAGCTTCTCTTCATTAGAATATGCTTTGATGTCATGCTCCAAAGTTTTTCTTAACCCTTAAGTAGTTAAATGTCAGCACTTGATTCTGAGACAGTAGGAAGTCAAGGGCCTGGTTTTCAGAAGTTGGCTTTTTAGACTGTCTTATTTGTACAGATTTGGGATGTCTTGATTCATGGTCACCCAAAAACTTAACTCTGAACTATCCTCTTCTAAAAATCAGGTCTGTTCCATGTTTTGTACTTGACACTGCTGACAGAGTGCTCATTATTTTAAACATTACTAGGGGTAGCAAGAAAATGAACTAGTAGAGGCCGTAGGTAGAGGGAGCAGTAATAATTGTAATGGCAGTAATAATAAGAGCAGCAGCAAAAATTTGCCTGTGTCAAGCTGTAAGTGAGCATGAGACATTGCATTGGATGAAGACCCAACACTGGCAGCTTCCGATGATTGTTTCTTGCTGATCTCCAGGATCCTGTACCTCCAGATTACTTGCAGTTGGTATCTTTAACACAGAGGTAAATAAAGGGGGGAAGAAATGAACAGCTAACTGCAGCCTTTGAACTCATGAGGCATTGGTGATATTAAGAGATAAGCAAACAAAAAAGATTTTTTTTTCTTTGAAGATCTCCTTTAATCATAAATCTCTTCTGCAAAATAGTTAAGAGTAACCTACTTCAAAAAGGTGCTATCAGGACAGGGCAGCACTTACTGTGTGACCGTTGAAGGTGAGAGTAATTAAGAAAACTAAGGCTACTAAACATCAATTATTTGATTAGCAATAGAGATTACCTACTCTTCACGCTGCACCTGGGTCTTATGCCCATCTATCCCTAGTGCTGCTTTGCAGCCTTTTCAAGGTACACTCACTGCTGCAGTGAACCTAAGGAGCCCACTGGGGCTTCTGCATGCACGTGTTGTCTGGAGGTCACTTCAAGTAAGGTACTACCTCCACCCTGATAGTGAGTGGAAAATTTTCAAAAGGGGATGGAAAAATAATTACAAGTTTCAGATTAAGTACGCTCTTGAGTAGCTGAATATACCTTCAGATCAGAAGTTATTGGATTTGTCATTTTCTATATTATTTTCTCTTCAATTTAGAGAGTATGCCTCTACATAAACGCACACAGCATGGGGAATAAGCAAGAGGAACTGGAGATGCACGTGCCGCTACAGGGCCATGATCTCATTGCAATTACTGAGACATGGTGAGACAGCTCCCATGACTGGAATGTGGCCATGGAGGGCTATAGGCTTTTCAGGAGGGACAGGGCAGGAAGGCGAGGTGGCGGAGTTGCTCTTTATGTGAGGGAACAACTGGAATGCTTAGAGCTCAGCATAGGGGAGAATGGAACGCGAGTAGAGAGCCTGTGGGTGAGGATAAAGGGGCAAGCCAGCAGGGGCGACACGGTGGTGGGAGTTTACTACAGGCCTCCTGACCAGGAYGAGGAAGTGGACGAAGCCTTCTACGGGCAGCTGCGGGAAGCCTCCCGATCACAGGACCTGGTCCTCCTGGGGGACTTCAACCACCCTGATATCTGCTGGGAAAACCACATAGCCAGGAACAGACAGTCCAGGAGGTTCCTGCAGAACATTGCAGATGACTTCTTGACGCAGGTGGTTGAGGAGCCAACAAGGGGAGGGGCGCTGCTAGACCTGATACTAACAAACAGAGATGGTCTAGTGGAAAATGTGAGGGTTGGGGGCAGTCTGGGCTGCAGCGACCACAAGATGTTGGAATTCACGAWCCGGCGTGGAGGAGGTGGGGCGAGAAGTAGGATAGCTACCCTGGACTTCAAGAGAGCCAACTTCGACCTCTTCAGGGAGCTCCTTGGAGCAGTCCCCTGGGTCAGGGTCCTAGAAGGAAAGGGGGTCCAGGAGAGCTGGCTGATATTCAAGCGCCACTTCCTCCAAGTTCAGGATCGGTGTATCCCCACAAAATAGAAGTCGAGTAAGCAGGGCAGGAGACCTGTATGGATGGGTAAGCAATTGCTGGGCAAAGTGAACAAGAAAAAAAGAGTGTACAGCTTGTGGAAGAAGAGACAGGCCACGTGGGAGGAATACAGACGCATCGTCAGAGAATGCAGATGCAAAATGAGGAAGGCCAAAGCCCGGGTGGAATTAGAGTTGGCGAGGCAAGTCAGAGACAACAGGAAGGGTTTCTATAAGTATGTCAATAGCAAGAGGAAGACAAGGGAAAATGTTAGTGCACTGCTGAATGGGGAAGGGGCCTTGGTGACGGAGGATGCGGAGAAGGCAGAGTTACTAAATGCCTTCTTTGCCTCTGTCTTTACTGCTAAGGCGACCCCCCATGAACTGCAGGGCTCAAATGGAAGAGATGGAAATGGGCTAGAGGAAGACCTTCCGCGGGTTGAGAAGGATTGGGTTAGGGACCACTTAGGCAAACTGGCCACTCAAAAATCTATGGGCCCAGATGGGATGCACCCAAGAGTGCTGAGGGAATTGGCCGAGGTTATTGCTCAGCCTCTCTCCATCATCTTTGAGGGGTCCTGGAGAGCAGGGGAGGTGCCCGAGGACTGGAAGAGAGCCAACGTCACTCCAGTCTTCAAAAAGGGCAAGAGGGAGGAGCCGGGCAATTACAGGCCGGTCAGCCTCACCTCCGTCCCCGGAAAGGTGATGGAGCGGTTCATCCTAGAGAGAATCTCCAGGCATATGGAGGAGAAGAAGCTGCTGAGGAGCAGTCAGCATGGATTCACCAAGGGGAAGTCATGTCTGTCGAACCTCATAGCTTCTATGATGGGGTGACAGGCTGGCTGGACGAGGGGAGAGCCGTGGATGTTGTCTACCTTGACTTCAGCAAGGCTTTTGACACTGTCTCCCATAATATCCTCATACGGAAGCTCCGGGAGAGTGGACTAGACGAGTGCACGGTGCGGTGGATCGAGGGCTGGCTGGACAGCAGAGCTCAGAGGGTGGTGATAAATGGGGCCGAGTCCAGTTGGAGGCCTGTGGCCAGTGGTGTCCCCCAGGGGTCAGTGCTGGGCCCAGTGCTGTTCAACTTGTTTATCAATGACCTGGACGAGGGCACGGAATGCACCCTGAGCAAGTTTGCAGATGACACCAAGCTGGGTGGAGTGGCCGACACTCCGGAGGGCTGTGCTGCCATCCAGAGGGACCTGGACAGGCTGGAGAGTTGGGCAGAGAGGAACCTCATGAGGTTCAATAAGGACAAGGGCAGGGTCCTGCACCTGGGGAGGAATAACCCCCGGCACCAGTACAGATTAGGGGTCGACCTGCTGGAGAGCACCTCCACGGAGAGGGACCTGGGAGTCCTGGTTGACACCAAGTTAACCATGAGTGAGCAGTGTGCCCTCGTGGCCAAGAAGGCCAATGGGATCCTGGCCTGCATCAGGAGGAGTGTTGCCAGCAGGTCAAGGGAGGTGATTCTGCCCCTCTACTCAGCTCTGGTGAGGCCGCACCTGGAGTACTGTGTGCAGTTCTGGGCTCCCCAGTATAAGAGGGACATGGAGCTTCTCGAGAGGGTCCAGAGAAGAGCAACCAGGATGATTAAGGGAATGGAACATCTCTCGTACGAAGAGAGGCTGAGTGAGCTGGGCCTGTTTTCTCTGGGGAAGAGAAGGCTCAGAGGGGATATGATTAACATGTATAAGTTCAGGAAGGGAGAATGCAGGGAGGAAGGGGACAAACTGTTTTCACTGGTGGCCAGCAATAGGACGAGGGGTAATGGCCACAAGCTGGAGCACAGGAAGTTCCGTCTCCAGGTGAAGAGCAACTTCTTTACTGTTAGGGTGACAGAGCAGTGGAACAGGCTGCCCAGGGAGGTTGTGGAGTCTCCTACTCTGGAGGTCTTCAAAACCCACCTGGATGCCTCCCTGTGTCACATGCTGTAGGTGTGCCTGCTTGAGCGGGAAGGTTGGACTAGATGATCTGTAGAGGTCCCTTCCAACCTTAAATATTCTGAAATATTCTGAAATAAGCTGTTCTGTGATTCTGTGAATATAGCTGTTAGGTAGGATCAGATTTCTCTTCACATTATCAGGTAGAAATGATTCTGCTCTAATGTCACATATTTTCCCCACAGAGAAAAAAACGTTTATACATTTTTTTATTACAGTTCTTCAATATAAAATGTAATTCTTTATTCTTTGTACCTAGGACAATCATAAAATATGTTATAGAGAGGAAACTGAAATCAAATTGCTACTTCATGAAACTAACAATATTGGAGATAATCAAAGAATTAATATGTAGTGCCTCCACAGCAAGAAAATTACACTGAAGCGTTCCCAGCAAGTTACCCACCAGTCTAAGGAGAGGTTATTATTTCACTATCACGTTTTTTACAAGGTATTTGAAATGTCTAACAAGATGTTCTGAAATCAAACTACCAGTCAAATAATTTGGGAGCCAGCGATCCTCCACAAAGATGACACTCTGAATTATATTCAAGTATTTGAATTCTGGTGCTTGTTTCTGCTCACAGACCCACTAGAGCTAGTAGAAGGATTTCTTTGTATAACAGATACCATCATTATTCCTTTGTTTGGAAGTCAAAAAAAAATTCTTGGAAAATTCAGTGGCATATCTGTGCCTAGCAACTAGCCATATCTCTTCACTGTTTCACAAATCTCCAAAGTCTTGCTGACAGAACACTGAAGATCCTACATGAATGATACTAAAAATCTGCTTAGGTAATGAAACAGCATTTCTGCTAATGCCAAAAAAAGTGCTCTTTAAAGAGCAACAAGATCAGAACCAGTAGCATGGAGCTCACTTGCAGTCACAAGGCACAGAAATGAAAAGAAAGGCTCCAAAATAATTTCATAAACATAAGGATGTCGTTTGTTTTAAGGATGTCATTTTGTTCGTATATATTTGAAACAAGTTTTTCTATTCAAGTGAATGATCTTTGGTTTTGCTACACAGGATGTTTTGTATATCAAGTACAAAAATGAATTCCTTATTTATCTATTCATTTTGTTCTGGAGGGGTAAAAAAAGCATTAAAAAGCTATACGTGTGATCTGTTGATGAATGAACAGAAATAAAATCTGAGCAATGGTATTGTCTCTGTCTTTTATAACCTTCTCCAATCTGTGAGTTAACACCTTAATTAAGTTTTTAGATTAATATTTTCAAAATAATGAGTGCAATAATGTATAAGCTATACAACAAATATGTATTTTCTTACTGTTTTTCACAACCTAGACTCCTTCAACTCCATTTGTGTCTGCCAGGATGTATTACTCCTTTTGTTAATATTTATGGAATAATACAATTTGCACTTTCAACAGATTTGCTCAATCTTTGATAAGAAAAGGAAATTACATGAGATAATGACTCTACACAATGCACCATGAACTGGATCTCAAACACTACAAGCTAACTCGAGGGCAGAGAAAACAGTGTGCTGACATTTCTCATTATACATGTGTCAAATTAAGGTTCATTAACTTAAATCAGAATAGTTTACAGATTATTATTACAATAATGTGAATAAGAAAACTCATGTCCTGCTGTCCCCCGACTGAAAGCTAATAATAGCAATAACCCAAAGATCTCCAAATACTTTATCCATCAGGAAAGTGGATCCAGTCTGTTATGAGTAGTGTCTCTCCAAACTTTAAATGCTTTAAAATGCAATGTCTACAAAGCTGGGGGAAAAAGCAAAAGAAAAGACAATACAAACTCACATTTTACACTGGGAAATAAAAGCAGTAAGAACTTGACAAGGAAAATTCTTCTAGAGTTCATTTTCAGGGTCAAAAACGTGCCTCCTCGCCCAACAATAGCTGCCAGCAGGTGCAAAAACGTTGTGCTGTACGGAGGCAGTTGTAGGATGTGTCTGCACAGCCTCCTATCCTGCTCCCCTCCTCCCATCGCTCACCCCAGCACATCTCCTTTCTGGCCCCACCACAGCAGTGCTGACACAAATACCTCCTGCTCAGCTGGCTCCTCCAAGATGGGCAATGTGCATCAAGCAGGGAAACGAGTGCTGCCCGTGGGAGACGGCACCAGGGTCCACCAGCCCAAGTCCAAGGCCTGTGGGAGAGTTGGTCTCCCTCGACCATCTTGCAAAAGTATCACACACAGAAGGGAGAGGAGAGGCCTCCTGAGGAAGCCAGCACGTCGACCTCTTCACGGAGACCTCTTCTCCACAAACAATGGAAGCACAGCCTTGGTCTAGGCAGAAATCATCCC